CTCTTATATCACTTAGAAAAATGAAGTTACACAAAGTGGAATGTAATTACTGGGATTAAAACTGTGGAAGCAGCTTTATTGTTCTCTTTTACTTGTTTTAACCTGGAAGATTTTCCCACTCTCTCAGGATGGAGTCTATAAAACCTTTAGAAGTTTTCCAGGAATCTTTAGGAAACAGAATAAATACCAGATTTAGTTTAGGCCGGTGAAGTTGAACATACCATTGAGAAACATTTCGAGGTTCGTCAAGAAGGTTAGGGTGCTCAAGTTTGAATGACCGCATTTATGCTATTATGATGACGTGTTTTCCCTTGCCAACATAGGAATTATGAACAAAGGCTGTATTTTTTTAAAATATCTAATACACTGGGCCTAAGATCATATTTATCTAATAAAATACTAACTCGAAAATTCTTTCTTTAGTCCTAATTGACTATTAACACTGTTAGTAATCATAACTGAGGTGGCCTTAGGTGGTGTGTGGCTCGGACTTATCATCTAACCTAAAGGCCTGTGGTTGGCACGAAGCAGCACCTTATTAGCAAGTACTGGCAGGCAGATGACCCTCGCCAAGAATGCCCTAGGAAGGTAAGTCAAAAAATATGGCTGCAAAATGATGGAAATGTTTATTAAATGAAAAACGCATCCCCATGTAGGACCATACACTTCTGAAGGCAGTATTTTCCCGGTGGCTGTTGGGTAAGGTATGTTAAGAGTGTTCTATCATTTAAATTAGATTTATTTCCTTACCGTCGGCACCAAACCTCAAACCAAGCCCAATGCTGTGGGGCCGATTCCAACTCATCAGAGCCCCGGATGGCAGAGTTGCACGACCCCATAAGGGTTCTCAGGTCCTTGCGTCGTCCTTGCGGAAGCAAACTTTCACGTCTCTCTCCTGCGCAACCCCACCAGCACTTATTGCACACACCACAACTTGTAGATAGTAGTTGGTCAGGAAAATGCTTAGTGATCTTTCTCATCAGGGATCCCTGGTGGTTGAATGCTTACGCGTGAGACTGCTAACCAGTGTCAGCAGTTTGAAAACACCAACCATGGCTCCAAAGAAAGACACGGCTTTCCACTCCCATGAAGACACTTGGAAACCTACAGGGGCAGGTGTGCAGACTTGGAAACCCACAGGGGCAATTCTCCCCTGCCCATTAGGGCTGCTATGAGTCGGCATCTCTCGATGACAGGGAGTTTGGTAGGTTGTTCTTATGGAGGCTCCGAGTCAGACATTTAAGCTGCAGGTCCTGTGTCTTTTAGCAGCTGGTCTGCCCAGTACTACCTGTGCTTCCGTTCAGTGTATCCTTGGTTCTACTGGCTTCTGGCAATAGCGCAGGAAGTTTGTAAATAAAACCCTGAACAAACAGTCCAGAACTTTGACCTTATACTACTGCCAATATCATCCTAACGATTTGTCTTCTCACTGCACGCTTATTTCTCTCCCTTGCACGGACAACTGTCACAGGTTGTAAGGCTGTTAGGGAAAGGGGCGGCGAGTGAGAAGTTGCCTTCGAAAAGAGCAGACTACCTTTGCACGTTTCCTCTAGGGTGGGGTGGATCCCCAGAAAGGCTCCCACTCTGGGACAGTCTGAACTTCTTACTGATCAGAATCATCATCTGGTTCTGTCTAAACATGTGATTTGGGGCAGGCTAGGGAGAGGGACAATTGTTATAATTTACTTCTAAAACTTCTAATTCTAAACGTGAGTCAAAGCTGGAGAAAATGGTGGGTTTCGGGCAGCAAAATGTGGGGCTCCTAACCCTTTCCACCTGTGTGTATAGGCGGGCAATACTCTCCTTCTACCCAGTTCTCCACGTCTCAGATGACCTATTTCTTTCTGCAAGGAGAAAACGCTCAGTGGGCCATGCCAGGAGGAGAAAAGTACTTTGCTCAGATAAAATCTGGAGGGGGGGGGCGGGGAACAACAGAACTGTGGGTAAAGGGAGACAGCGGACAGTGTAAGATATAAAAATAGTAATAATTTATAATTTATGAGGGGACCACGAGGGTGGGAGGATGGGGAAGGGAGGGGAAAAAAAACAGGAGCTGATACCAAGGGCTCTAGTAGAAAGAAAATGTTTTGAAAACGGTGGTGGCAACTTATGTACGAATGTATTTGATACAATTGATGTATGGATTGTTATAAGAGTTGTAAGAGCCTCCCCCCCAAAAAATGATTTATTAATAATAATAAAAAT